TATGACCTTATTACATTTTTTTTTTGTGCTTGAGTTAGTCAATATAATAGAGAAGCAAGCATGAAATAGCACAGAGGAAACATTTACAAAAAGCATTCAGGAGTTACCTACTGAATCTTTAAGAGGAAGTGGAGAGCAAGCTTAAAGGTCATGATTAAAACCCTTCTGGGAAAACTGTTGTGATCTTTGGTGAGATTAAAAGTCACATTATTGAAATGTCGCCTGCAGCATGCAACACTTTCAGCCAACATTAAACTGTGAACCGGTGAAATGAGTGTTGTGAGCTGGAGTCTCATTCTGATACGCCCGACAGCTCAACTACAATGTGTGTCTTCTTTATGGATGCAAAATGGGAAGGGGCTGTGCTGCTAAAATGTATTTTTATTCATTAGTATTTCTCTTTAATTTTGAGGTACACTGAGCTAAAATTCTACTGATGAGGTTTGCATGACTTCATTCCATACCCAAACCATCATGTACATAACGTTAATGTCGTCATCTTAAACATGGCAAGTGGAGGTCTAAGGGGCGTGGGATTTATTTACCCAAGTGCCAGAAATCAGGTCTCACTACCTAGGTAGCTCCAGATGCCTGTTTTGAGAAACCTGCTTCCCATAGATGAAGAATGCTGCTTCTCACCTCTGTCCTAACTACTCTAAATAGACCTACATCTCAAAAGTTGACCTTCCATAAACAAGCTTTCTTCTTCTTCTTCTTCTTCTTCTTCTTCTTCTTCTTCTTCTTCTTCCTCTTCCTCTTCCTCTTCCTCTTCCTCTTCCTCTTCCTCTTCTCCTCCTCCTCCTCCTCCTTCTCCTTCTCATCCCTATCCTAATCCTCCTTATTTTTTCTTTTTTGTTTTTGAGACAGGGTCACTATGTAGACCTGGTTGGCCTCAAATTCATGGTCCTCTTGCCTCAGACTCCAAATTCTAGGATTATAGCATGCAACCCAACAGCTTCCTTAGGCAAACCTTTAACCAGTGACATTTCCAGCTCATAGATTTAGTTTCCTTTAGAAGGAGAGAATCATGAGGGGAAAAATTGGAAATGCAGTTTCTTCTGGCATACTAGAACATTTTAGTTTGCAAATGGAATTCCCATTCTGAACATTGTTAGCTCAGCCATTCCAACATAAACTATGAATGCCCAAATTAAAACCACCAGGCTTACTTGGGCCAGCTGTTGTAATTTTGTGCAACTGAAAGAGCTAAAAATGCTTTCCAACAATACTGTTTTAAGCAGCTAAAGGTATCAAATATAAACCATAACTTGTGATGTAGAAATCATACCAACATGAACCACTCTGAGTGAATGGTTTATGATTTGTGTGTTTGGAGTAATGTGTCAACATTTGTACATCTATCGTAATGAAGGCACCACTCTGACTGGGATGTTAATAATATAGGAGGCTGTGTTGGAGCTGGGGAGAACGTTAGATACTTCTATGTCTTGTGCTGTTGGGGGCCTAAAGCAGCTCTAAAAGTTAGAGGCTGTTAAAACATATATCAAGCACAGTGAACCTGAGTGTGGATTTAGTGGTGCACAGCCATGCCCGTTCATTCATATACTTCCTATGGCTGCTTTCACGCTACAAGAATTGAGCAGCTGAGACCTGAAAAGCCTTCAGTCTTCACTCCATGGGGAGAAGTTTTCTGATTGTCCATTCTATTGCATCTGGTACCGACTAAGCTACTGGGTGACAGTGTTGTCCCCAGAGTGAAAATTCTTCTCTCCTACATTTACCAGTTGTGGGACATTTAACAAGTGCTTAATCTTGTTAGGCCCCCATTCACTCATCTTTTGAATGGAAGAATAAGTCCTTCAGGACACTTCCAGGACCAATTTAGGGCTTAAGTGAACTAAGAAAGCACCAAACAGGTCAACAATAATTCATTTTGATTTTGAAATTCTGCTTTTCTCTTATGCCTTCCCTTTTAGAATCTGGATGTGTTTTCCTCAGTTACCTGCTATGTTTATGTGAAATATGAACGAAAAAAAAAAGAAATAAAAGGATATGATAGCTCCTTTTATTGAGGCTATTGGGTTGAGGGTTATTTATTTATTTTTTTCTCTTTCTTTCTTTCTTGTTTTGCTTTTTTATTTTTTTGAGACAGGGTCTCTTTGTAGCTTTGGGGGCCTATCCTGGAGCTAGCTCTCCTAGACCAGGCTGGCGTTAAACTCACAGAGATCCACCTGCCTCTGCCCCTGAGTGCTGGGATTAAAGACGTGCGCCACCACTACTCGGCTGAGGTTTTTATATAGATGTAAGGAAGAATGCAGTAGAAACATCTGGAAAGTCCAGAGTGAATATAACTGGCAGACTGAGTCGGGGCCATGTGAGGAGGGTTGGGGCAGGGAGACAGGAGAGTCCTGGGCTAGAGAACTTTAGGGTGGGGGGCAAGGGGTGCCAGCCAGAAGGATCCTGTAACAGATAGGGACTGAAGGATGCTGGGAGAACCTGGTGGCCAGCATCTGCTTTGGTATGCTAACAGACACTCCTCTGTCCTGGGCTGGTGCATTAGTCTGCTGTTATGTTTCTTATTTGTGTTTATCATAAAGCTGGTCCTCCATCAAAGTGAGTTCCAGGGAAGCAGTTACCTGTGTCTGCATCGGCCAAAGTGGAAGAGTCAGCAAAGCAAGAACGGGTCTGCTTTAGCCGATGCCAGGTTTCTGGGGGCACCTGTGCTCTTCCAAGCATTGACCCAAATGCTCCTACTAGTCCCTAATATAGGAACTATCACTGACACATTGGCATTTAGGCTTAACTCCCATAGAATCACTGAATTCTTGACTAAAGCTGTGGTTGAATTAGTGCTGAAGATTACAAAGATTTTTATTTTATAGAAAAAAATTGATATCAGCCAAGACATTCAGGAGTGGTGAGAATTCCAAAGGCCCAGAACCGTCTGTCCTATAAGTGCTATGATAAGACTCTGTTATGTTAGTGAAAAATTAGATTTAGCAATGAAGCTGTCCATATGTGCTGTTGGTTTTTCTGGAGATCAACTCTCTGCTGTTGCAGCCCAGGACAATGGGCCTTTGAAAATCATTGGACTTTTAAAATCCTTTAACTCTGCTAATTGTTCACTTTGAACAAATAATGTCATTCTTCTGGGGCACTTTTGAAAAGGAGGAGCAGTGTTGAGCACACAACACAGAAGTTTAGGAAATGAAGTAAATCAGAAATAACTGAGTGTAAATGAGACACCTGATGCTTTTCTGTCCTTCCTTTCATGCCATAAAGTGTGTTTGCAAGCAATCTCCACTCTGTCTCAGGCCTGGAAAGTTAAAGGAATTCTTTTTTTCACTTACTGGCATTCAGGGTTTCAGCTTACCAGTGTCAGCATCAAGGCCAGCTGCCTCCTCGACCTCACGTAGATGGGTGCTGTGCTGCTGAGCTTTTTGTCCTTGGACACTAAAGGACTTCTGTCAGAAAGTCGGGCTGGAGGAGGACTCAGAAACAGTCCTTGGCTCCAGGAGTCTTGTTCCTCCTCACTGCCAGTTTTTCAGAACTTGGGAAGAATTCTCACAAATGGAATATCAGGAAGAGGCGAGAGCGGGGAGAGCGGTGTGGACTTGAAGCTCAAACTTTCTCATGGTTCAGCAAATGAAATAATTCACTTCCTGCGTGGTGCAGAGTCTCATCATGTCCCAAGTGTTCCGTTCTATTTGCTGAACCATGAGAAAGTTTGGCCTTTTTCAAAAAGAAAGTCCGCTGAACACGTTATGCAGGTGTGGTCAACTATCTGCTTAGGACGAGGATTTGTAAGAGAAAGGAAAAGGTAGTATTAGCCTGATCAATTTGTTTCCGATTCCTATGAAATCCACGTTGGGATTTAAATGTCCAGGCTTCTTCCTCTGGGTGAGGGCCCACCAAACGCTTTCCCTATGTGTCTGAAGCAAGAGGTGTTTTCTGGGGTACTTATTGTTTCCCTCGTCCATTTATGGGCTTCCATATCTGGGGAGGTGTCTTGGGGAGGGCTAGATTATCCTAGGGGGTCCCAACTCACTTTCTCTGTCCTCCACCAGAGTGCTGACCACTGCTGAGAAAGTCAGTTTGGGTCTGGAGGGAGCCCAGTTGTATCTGGAAACTCCAGCAGCAGAGGGCCACAAGGCGGCGACTGTGAGCTTTGGGGCACTGTGCAGACCCGGAGACTGATGTCTGGGGATGCCTCCAGAAGCTTGGGGAGAGGTAAACCTTCAAGACTTGGACCCTTGGGATGGGGGAGAGGCGTGATGGGGCTGCTCTCTCTGGAGAGGGGTAACTGAGCCTTGGCCTGTAAACCAGAGGACAGACTTGGACAAACTGTATGTGCAACTGTTCCTCTGAGTGGAGGCTCAGAACAGAGTCCTCCAAGAACATCCATGGGGTGAGCAAGGCCCCTCCCCACAGGGCTAACAGATTCTCCACCTTCTCACCCCTGCCCCGCCCTGCAGGCAGCTGTCCCCCAGGACCAGTCCCAGAGGGCGTGATCCGCATCTACAGCATGAGGTTCTGCCCCTACTCTCACAGGGCACGCCTGGTCCTCAAGGCCAAAGGCATCAGGTAAGGCATCCCTGAGCACACCCTCACCTCTCATCTCCAGGGGAATAGTTCAAGTCTGAGGCTCTTTGAAGGGCTTCTCTTCCGTTTCTTCTGAGGCTGAGTGACTCCAAGGGCTGATTTTGTGTAGGCTTTCCGGAAATCCTGAGTTCTCATCCAAATCAGATTTTCAAGAACCATCAGACATGGCAGCCTACACCGAATGATGCTGTCGGTGAACTGGTCTCCACTCATCCACCCTTGGTTTAGGAAGGGTACGGCCAAGCTCACTGAAGCCTCTCCTAAATGCACCCAGGTAGCCCTACCTCTGCCCCAAGCAGCTTGGGGGTAACTCTGTTCTGTTTCTTCATGCTTAACTACATCCAACATTTCCTAGTTCATTCTGTCTTTCTACCACCTCCCCCCATGACAACCATACAGAAAAAGAGTTGGAGAGAGTAGGGTCTGCCTCATCGGGGTTCTAGAAGAGAGCCTGGCACTCAGTAGGTGTTCAGAAAGTGTTTGTTGGGGATGGAGCTGACCTGCTAGGAGTGCTTGCTCTGTATGCACAAGGCACAGGTTCACACACCCAGTCACCACCTGAAACCAAGCATGGAGGAACTTCCCTGTGACCTCAGAACTTGGGAGGTTGAGACAGCAGGATCAGAAGTTCAAGACCGCTCTTGTTTACATACCAAGTTCCAGATCAGCCTTGGTCACATAAGACCCTGTCTAACACACAAAACTCAAATGTTACTTCAGCTTCTGGCTCAGGGCTCGGAATGTCCATCATAGGGGTTGGCGTCAGACTTTCAGTTCGTGTCAGTGAATAGAGAGACCCATATGGAGATATTTTAAATGAAAAATTTAAATAACTTAGTTAACTCTGCATAGATGCTTATGTATAATATACATCCCCAGAGTATTCCTGCTGACTCGAATCTACTTAGCCCTATGGTTACCTGTTGTTTTTATTTGCTTTTAGAAAAATCAGAGCAATGTAATGTGTTGCTCATTTGGGGATAAACTGGCAGCTTAGGAACTGATTAAAATAGTTATGGGATATTGTTGTTTGCTCTGAGACAGGGTTTTATGTAGCTCAGGATGACCACAAACTCAGTTTGTATCTGAGGATGACTTTGAACTTTTGATCCTTCTAGCTCTTCCTCCACAGAGTTGGAATTACAGCAGTGTGCCACCATGCCTGGCTTGTGTGATACTGGGGACAGAATCCAGGGCTTCCTTAGCTGGACAAGCACTTTACCAACTAAACTACATGCCCAGACCCATAACTGGTTTAACAGAGTGGAATTTCTCAATCTTAGCATCACTGACTGGCATTTGGGACCAGATGAGTCTTTGCTGGGGAGAGAAAAGGGGGTTATCCTGTGTATCCCCGGTTGTTTGTCAGGATCCCCACCTTTACCCATTAGGATGGTACCCCACTCCTCTGGTAAAAACCAAAGTGTCCCCGGATATTGATGTTCATTACTTGCTTGGAGGAGAGGTAAAATAATCTTGTTGAGAACTACCATTTGGAAGAATGTCACCATTTGTGTGTGTGTGTGTGTGTGTGTGTGTGTGTGTGTGTGTGTGCGTGTGTATGTGTGTGTGTGTGTGTGTGTGTGTGTGTGTGTTTAAATCTTCTTAAACGTGTGTTTGTGCCTCTAGTGACCTCCTGGTTTTGAACCTCCAATAATAATAATGAGTAGGGGAGGATTGAAAAGTGATTGCGTGCTAATTAATATGCTAGGTACTCTCCCAAACACTACACACGATCCCTGCTTTGATCGCCACAGCGATGTCAAGAGATGGGACCTGTGGACGCTGAGCACCAAGAGGGGAAGGCATTAGTTAGGATCTCAGCTTGAGCATACAGCTTGTTGTGGGGTGTGTGACCTTCACTGTTAGCACTCACCAGTGTCTAGTATGACCTGTAAATAACACAGTTGTGTTTCTGTGGTTGTTTTGCTTTTGAGACAGGGCCTCAAATGTAGCCTAGATTGCTCTCCGACTTACAGTCCTGCTTCCTCTGTCTCCTGGGTCCTGGGGTTGCAGACCTGAGCCACCATGTCCTCTTGGACTTGTGCTTGCTGGCTTCCATCTCCCAGCGCTGTGGCTGAGTGCATATGGAGTCAGTCAGCCTGGCTCTCACCTTGCCTCAGCCACTTCTTAGGAGATGCTATTGGGCTTGAGATTCAATCCCAGGAAAAGAGAAGCCATAGAAGACACCAGTGCAGAGACGAACACAAACAAAGTTCCCGTGTCAGACAGCTCTCAGCACGCATGGTACAGCTGTCTGTGTTTGAGGTGAACTGTCTTCCTGTATGCTTCTCATTTCCAGCCTGTCTTCCTGTATGCTTCTCATTTCTAGCCTGTCTTTCTTTTGTTTTTTTTTTTCAAGGCACGAAGTTATCAACATTAACCTGAAAAACAAACCTGAGTGGTACTATACAAAACATCCTTTTGGCCAGATTCCTGTCCTGGAGAACAGCCAGTGTCAACTTATCTATGAATCCGTCATCGCTTGCGAGTACCTGGATGACATCTATCCAGGAAGGAAGCTGTTTCCATATGACCCTTATGAACGAGCTCGCCAGAAGATGTTACTGGAGCTATTTTGTAAGGTACACACAATTGCGTAGAGGAGTTATTCTGTAAGGTATACACAATTGCGAAGGGGAGCTATTCTGTAAGGTACACACAATTGCGAAGGGGAGCTATTCTGTAAGGTACACACAATTGTGTAGAGGAGTTATTCTGTAAGGTATACACAATTGCGAAGGGGAGCTATTCTGTAAGGTACACACAATTGCGTAGGGGAACTATTCTGTAAGGTACACACAATTGCGAAGGGGAGCTATTCTGTAAGGTACACACAATTGCAAAGGGGAGCTATTCTGTAAGGTACACACAATTTCGTAGAGGAGCTATTCTGTAAGGTATACACAATTGCGAAGGGGAGCTATTCTGTAAGGTACACACAATTGTGTAGAGGAGTTATTCTGTAAGGTACACACAATAGCCAAGAGGAGCTATTCTGTAAGGTACACACAATTGCGTAGAGGAGCTATTCTGTAAGGTATATACAATTGGAAAGAGGAGCTATTCTGTAAGGTACACACAATAGCCAAGAGGAGCTATTCTGTAAGGTACACACAATTGCGTAGAGGAGCTATTCTGTAAGGTACACACAATTGTGTAGAGGAGCTATTCTATAAGATACACACGATTGCGAATAGCCTCATAGGCTTGATTTTTACTTAGTATGTGTTTCCACAACTTCAATCCGTTCTAAAAATCAATCATGACACAGTTTCATTTTAACCTTGTGAGGCTTTGAAGAAGAACTCACGTGGGATTAGAGTCAGGTGTGGCCACTGGCATTCAGAGTGGAAGGTAGAGATTCACGCGACTAGAAATGGAAGTGTTGAGACAGCTGAGACTGGTAAAAGGAGCATTTCTCAAGCTCCAGGTACAAAATGTTGGAGTGACGCTGTGCCCGAAGAGTGACAGCCCTCTCAGAAGCATGTGCCCTGGGTACAGTTGTTGGTAATGAGAGAGAAAGCGACAGCAAAGTTAAGACATTTCCCTTCAAAAAGAAAGGAAAACGACTCGGTGAGGGCTAAGGAGTGGGCTCGGTGTGAAGTGCTTGCTGGGGTGGACTGGATGACACAGGAGGATCCCTGGGACTTGCTGGCCAGCTAGTCTCCCCAAATCTGCAAGCTCCAAGTTCACTGAGAAATTCTGTCTCAGCAAGTTAACCACCCAGTCTGATGGCTCAGGTTCGATCCCCTGGACCCATGTGGTGGGAGGAGAGAACTGACAGCCGCAGGTTGTCCTCAGAGCTCCACACGCATTTGTCGGCACTTGTGCATTGTGCCACATGTGTGCATGCATATGTGTGGGCATGCATGTGTGCATGCCCACACATACACACGAACACACATGAGCACAGTAAATAAATAAGAATATGAATAAATAAATGTTTTAAAAATAAGATGCAGAGTGAGTGAGGAAGACACACAGTGTTGACATCTGACCTACACACACACACAAAAAAAAGTTCAGGAACTCAATGTTATTAATAGCATTAATTATGTTATTAATTAATGACATATATTGAACACTCAGGATGTTCCAAATCTTCTCTAACTACTGATTCCCTCCCTTGACTGCCCTGGGAGGGGAGTATTGCTACTGGAACCATTTTTCAGATAGGAACACTGAGGCTTAAAGAGGTTAAGTGTCCCCGCTAAGAGCGTACAGCATGGGACTAACTGATCAAGCAGGGGGCACTGAGAACCCTGTGAAAGTTCTTAGCCTGAGCAGCTGCTGTGAGAAGTGGTCCCTGGGAGCACAGAGATACCCCAGAACCCCTCGCCAGGGACAGGGGACATCGGCATGTGGCCAAGTCCTCCTGTGCTGGAGGTGGGACGCTTCACTGCCTTTGGGTCGGAGTGGGGCAGTTTTCATAAACACCTCCACTAAGAACCTGTGTCCCCTGTCTAGGTCCCACACTTAACCAAGGAATGTCTAGTAGCGCTGAGATGCGGGAGAGACTGTGCAGACCTGAAGACTGCCCTCCGTCAGGAGTTCTGCAACCTGGAAGAGGTATGGAGTGTCTGTCCCTTCAGAGGCGACGGGCCGAACTCTGTGTACTGTCTCTAATCTAGACACCTGCCATCACCTGATTGCAGACTTTCTGCCAAGCGTTGACGCGGTCCCTTTCTGGTCATCTGAGTGTCACCTGTGAATGCTTGCATCCCTCACCTGCTTTGGAGTGCTTCTTGCAAAGTTGTCAAGGATGAGCAATGCTTTTGTCCTTTCCCGGCGTTGTGGCGTTCACTGAGATTCTCTGCATGGTTTCTGCTGAAGGGGCTGAGGTGTTGGTCAACAGCTGTGTGGGACCTAACTGCTGAACGCTTGTCTAATGACGGTTTATTCCCTCACATTACAAAGCCAGAGGGAGTCCAGGACTGCTTCCATGTTTCCTCATGAAGTTAGCAGGGGACTGAGGTTCATCCTTCTGTTCTGTCACATTTAGTGCAAGGTTTTCGTCCTTAAAAAGAAGATGGCTGTCGGATCTTCTGGCATCACTGTCCCCTCAGACTCTAGCAAAGAGAATGGAAGAGAAAAGTGTCAAATGGCCGGGCCCTCTTAAAGGACCTGCCCAGAAGTCCAGTGACTGCTTCCACCTCAGTGACCAGAATTTAGTTGTTGGGTCGTGGCTATCAGCAGAGGAGGCTGAGGTGTGTGGGGGGGTATCTTTTAGCTGAGATTCCCCAAATAAAATCAGTTTGTGTGTTTTAGAAATGGAAGGTTAGTGGATGGACAGGGAGCAGTCTGCTGTACCAGGGCCGTAATGGAGCTTCCTACCATCCACCCGACTCTGAGTGTGCTGTGGGTCTCGACTTTCTTTTTCTTTAGTCTAGGAACCAAAATGAATGCTTTTCATGGGTGAGGCTGCTCCCCTGTTGACAGCCAGAGAACTGCTGTCTTTATCCCTTTACAAGATGGCTTGCTATTAATATTCTTCCATTTGACTCTATTGGCTAGATACAGATTAAGTTCACACACGCTCATGTTTCCTGTATTGCAGATGTACAGTTGCAGTGATTTGGAAGAGCATAGTAAGAAATATACACTTGTGTCCTGAGGCCTCAGACTCCAACAACCCCTCGGCGGCAGTGGATGGTGGGGTCATGACTTTAGGTGTGGCTTTGCTGGACTCTGGAGCCTTGGGCAAGAAGAATCTGGGGATGGTTCTAGAACTGCTTCACCAATACTGCCTTTAAGCACAGAGTTGTAAAAGCCATCTAATAAGAGAGTCTTTGCCCAAGAAGAGGCAACACTGCTCGAAAAGAAGCAGCCGAAACCTCTCTGAGTAGAGTTATTAATTTCACTATGTTTGGTGGCGGTTGTTTTTGTTTCTTGTTTTTGAGACAGGGTCTCTCACTATGTAGCCCTTGGATTCACAGAGATCTGCCTGTCTTTGCCTTCCAAGTGCTGGAATTGAAAGTGTGTCATCATACCCAGCTAATGTCTCTCTCTGTCTCTCTCTGTCTCTCTGTCTCTCTGTCTCTCTGTCTCTCTCTCTCCTTTCAATCAATATCATCTGAACCAATTCCATAATTCCATCCTGTCTGGTTCCTTTCTCATGATACGTAAATACTGGGTCAGATTAAGATTAAGGAGCTGAAGACAAAGTCCTGTATTCAGGGATCACTAAAAGTGCATGTTGGCTGTTCTGCTGCTCTCCTACATGGGGTCTATGAAGTCAGGATGCAAGCATGGCTCTTCTCTTCAGTTGGGGCTCTCTCGGGACAGCTAAGCCAGTATCCTGTGCCCACACTGTGATGCGGTGCTTTGCGTAGACCGCCTTACTCCTCGCAACCTCCTGCCCAGGCCATAGTCACTCTAGTGCTTTGCAAATCAGGAAACCTGTAAGCTAACCAGGAATGCAAAGAAAAACGTCCAGGGGCTAGGACAGAAATGGAGACCAACCGTTAGGCTCATTTTGAAGCAACTATGCAGAGTGCCAGGCTGGAGACATATGGAAGAAAGAGAGCTCGTGTGTGTGTGTGTGTGTGTGTGTGTGTGTGCGCGCGCGTGCGTGTGTGTCAGAGAGAGAGAGAGAGAAAGAGAGAGAAAGAGAGAGAGAGAGAAAAGTGCTAGGCTGAGATACGTGCAAGAGAGAGAGAGCTGGGGTGTGTGTGTGTGCGTGTGTGAAAGAGAGAGAGAGAGAGAGAGAGAGAGAGAGAGAGAGCAAGCAGAGTGCTGCTAGGCTGGAGACATACAGAAGAGAGAGGGCTGGTATGTGTATGAAAGAGAAAGAGGGGGGAGAGGGAGAGAGAGCAGAGTGCTAGGCTCAGACATGTGCAAAAGAGAGAGAGAATGTGTGTGTGTGAGACAGCAGAGAATCAGGGTACCACAGTCAGAAGCTTTTCCCTTGGACAAGGAATTTCCACTTGATCCCTAAACTCGATGTGGAGTAACTGCAGACTTCCAGGCAGGGGTATGATGGTTCCTCCCTTCTTTGCTCACTAATGGGAGGACGGAGGACAGGATTGGAGAGGTTTCAAAGGACTAAGACACGATGAACTTTGGTGGAGGGGCTGGTGAGGTTGGTTTCCATGTTTGTAACCAGTAAACATAAGCGGCTGGGACTTGGACAGAAGATCCAATGCACTGTGTCATGGCGCTGCAGAGCAGAGATGTGGAGGCAGAACTCAGGAGAGTGCTATGCCCACAGCACTGGACCCTGGGCATAGTCTTCCTAGCTAGGGGTGTTAACAGAAAGATGGGAATGTATCAGCAGGTTGCAGATGAGTATGTCACAACAGTCCCTGGGCCGGGGGTGAGGGGATGGGGTTGGGGGGAAGAGACAAACCAAATCCCTGACTTTGTAGCATTTGCCGGTTTCAGCGGTGAAACATCCTCTCAGCAAGGCTGGCTTTTAAGGCACTGCCTCTGAACCCAGTTGAGAAGAGGTGTGGCCAGCTGGCCAGCCCCAGTGCCTCCTGAATGGCTCCCTTTTCACTTGTCTTTAGTCAGGGCCTCAGAGCCCTGGCTCTGGCAGCTGTCACTCATGCATGTAAAGACGTTCAGCTTTTTTCCAGTGGGTTTGGGTGGGAGTTTTGTCCCACAGTGTTAGGAAGAACATTAGCTGCTACACACACAATAGCAGAATCTGAAACAGCCGGTGGACATGAGCTATAAAAGCCGTTTCTCCAAACAGTAATATACAGACTCCAGGGCCTAGAGTAGAGTCTAGGAGATCCTAGTGAAATTAAAACTTACCACAATAATCTGACAGAAATCCCCCTAATTCACATTTTTCCTCCTGTTTTTTTTTGTTTGTTTTGTTTGCTTTGTTTTGTTTTGTTTTGTTTTTTTGAGACAGGGTTTTGCTGTGTAGTCCTGGCTGTCATGGAACTCACCGTATAGACCAGGCTGACCTTGAACTCACAAAAATCTGTCTGACTTTGCCTCCTTCATGCTGGGATTAAAGGCATGGATCACCACATCCTTCTTGTTGGTTTTATAAGCAAGATTTTGTGTGGGCTAAAAAGCTATTGAACACACATGGTCTTTCTGAGTAACAAATAAGCTGATATTGTGTGTATGTGTGTGTGTGTGTGTGTGTGTGTTTGTGTCTTTGGAGCCCCCAACTAAGCAGTATGGATCATGACACACTTCAAGTGGGTTTTACAAGAAGGATTTTGTGTGGGCTGAAAAGCTGTGGAACACACGTGGTCTTTCTGAGGGACAAATAAGCCGATATTCTCTTTATATCTGTCTGTCTGTCTATCTATCTATCTATCTATCTATCTATCTATCTATCTATCTATCT